CCGATAGGCCAAGCGAAACTCCAAATGAATCTTTCGCTAGAGTATGGAAAGATACACTCCCCCGTAATTGCGTCTCCCTCCTGGGCGCAGGCTTCCGCGTCACCTTTGGCCAAACCACCAACCCATCAGCAGAACTAACAGTGACATTATGTTCGTACCGCCATCAAACCCCAATATCGAGCTCTGGTTCGCTCGATGTCGTTGAATATCGAGTGAGTTACTTATTTCTTCTTCCTTCATAGCCATGGGTCCAGCAGCTCAGCGCACCCTTTTTCTTTTCTTTCCGCCCTTCTACTGACTTTCTCCTCAATCTAACTTCATCATCTAGTTCGCCTTGTCTCAAAACCCCTATCTACCATCTTTCCCGGACCGGTTTCATTATGAATCGGTCGAGAAAAGCCTTTTCCACCCTCGTTGTTCACCATCTCCCTGGTCCTCCTCTATTTCAGCGCACAACTTTTCTCGCTAACTTCCTAATCCTTTCACCTAACACTTAAACTAACAGGCTCATACGATTTGCCCGGGGCCAAAACATCGGGACGGTATCCTCCCCCTCCCGATTCCGCTAAGAATCGAGAGAGCGATGCCTCCCATACTCCGCCCGACTCCTTCTCCATAGCTCCGCCATCCTCCACTCACCTTGTATGCACCCAGCGTGAAGTCCGCCCAGGTTCACTCGCTATTCTTCTTTTCTTCTTTGTAACTTTGCCCGGCTCCCGGCCTGTCCCTTCATGCCCGCTTTGCGTTCCCCCGCTACCTGCCTTGGAGCTGCTATGCTACGGCTAACGCAGCGCTGAATGTCTCATCCCGCCTAGCTCCCGCTCGTTCCTTTTCCGACCAGGCCGCTCCCTAACAGCGCCCAGTGGTGGGAGACCCCGTAGCGGACCGATCTACTGTCCGCCGCGCAGCAGGGGAGTGCCAGAAGAGAATAAACTTCCAAACTGTCCGATTCGATTGCTTCCTTTGCCAGCTATACCTAGTCCGGCTACCGCCCTGCATCAGCGCCACTGCTAAACACCTTAGGGAACTTCTACTGGCCCGCTCTGCTCAAGCAGAGCTATCCCCTCTCGGGTCCCCGACAGGCGGCCCGCACATGAATGGCGTTAGGCCTAGGGCGCAGGTCTGCTGCCTTGGTGCGCTTGTTCTAAGCAACGACGTGCTAGAGGATTTTCGCTAGCATCCAGAACGCGCGGACCCACCAAACGGGGCGTGCATTCAAGCTCCTCGACTACCATGATGGCCACTACTTCCGATGCCGCGTCTGGATCTAAGAGCTTCGGTGCAAAAATAATAACAGTACACCCATAAATAATAAAAAACACTTTGAAGCTTTTGCCCACTAGAAGAGAGTGAATCGAGGAGAGGAGAAAACGCCAGCACCGCTCCGACGCTGCCGACGACAAAACCAAAAAGGGGAGGGGTTAGCCCCGTCGCCCTCATCCCTCCAGTTCTTTCATACCGCTCTGATGTCCTCAAGCCGTTGCTTGCTGACTTCGATCCCTGAATCTTCCTGATGAAAGTCCGACGCCGTAACTAATAGTGTTAGGGCCGAGTCTGGGTCCAACTCTGACGGACGCCTAAATAAACGGACATCGTGCGACGCGCGGGCCTACCGAAAACACTTCAAGGCCTCCTTGTCATTGATGTCGTCCTTCGCACGTATGCACAAGTCACCGGTAGGTGCACCAATCAAACGACAAAAATCTATTTAATAAGAGTTAAATAAAAAATAAAAAATTTGGTCGCCACCCACGTCGGCTCTTCTGTCATCAAGGATAAAAAGAGATCATGTGTGCCTTAAGTTTACGCGCCCACACACTCTCTACTGTAGTTAATCATCTAGTCAAACATCAACCATAGATTAAATCGCGCCTCGCGCAGTATACTTGAATTTTAAATCAAACTTATTTATATCGTTTGTAAAGACTAGGGTGGATACCCTTGTAAGGGTATTCGCACCGACAACTCACCGGACCATATTAAGCGACGTCCCCGTCGCTTCGCAAGATCAAAAAGCTATAAGCTCGTCCAAAACTCCAAATGTTGACGAGAAAGGAACCAATCTGATTAGCCAACAGACTCAGGGTTGAGGCCTCCAACAATCCAAACCCTTACAAGTATATGCTGCAAGGATTCTAACTCGGGTCTCCATTGTCCCACACTAGAACGCAGGTATACTGGACATACGTACTACAACATAAGTTCCAGCGGCCCCTCTCAACTGTCCTCTCCCCTTCGTCCTAGACAAACGTCGACTTGTCGTTAAGTGTCCTTAGTCTCTACCCTGCAAGCAGGGCCATAACCGAGGACGCCGGCCCCAACCGAGACCTCAGAAAGCATTCTCACCCTCCTCCACTAATTCTCACAATCAAATATATATATATATATATATATATATATATATATATTATTTACACACACCTCGTACAGTCTAGTACAGGACGACTAGGTCTCCATCTTGGCCCACCGTAGTTTGGGTGATCGTGCCAAGTCTACGGCCCACCGCGTTTGTTATTTTAGCGGTAGTGCCCTCGCAGGTTGCGCCACGATAGACTTTTTCTCTTGATAAGCGTTCAGTCAGGACTCAGAAAAGACTCGACTCCTATCCCACGCGCCCCGTGGCAGGTAAAACCCTCCTGGGTGGCTACACCCCTTTAAGTTTTTACCCCTTTTGGCGAGACGTGGGCCCGCTGCTAGGTTGCGCCGGTCAGCAGCCAATACTAGGGGTTGCGCCCTAGGGATGCTAAACTTTACCGTTAGCTTGGTATTATCATAAATGCTCAGGATTTAGCACAAGCGGCTGGACGGTGTGTCGCAACGATACAATTGCGGGACTACACAAAGGTCGGTCACACATAAAAGGCATTTACGAACCCTCTATGTGTCGACACAGAGGAAACACGACAACCTCTCCACTATCGCAAAACAGAATCACCTCCAGGTCCGCAAGGTCGTGGCCCCCCTACTTGATCAGGGCAAAAAAAACACACATCCCGAAACATCCCCCGATGAAGCTTTTTGTGACATTTACAAAAATTTCACCAATGGGCAAGCGAAACTGTGGTCCTCCTCGTCAGACTTTATCATCCAAAACCAACTTACCATGCCATTAAATCTATTTACTCCCTTCTCATACGAAGGAAGTCTCTCTCAATAGGTCTCCCAGTCATCCCTTCTCTGTTTAGGATGAACTCTCACGCGACCTTTCATTAAAACATCTCCCCTCTCTGAAGATGAGTCTTCCAATAAGCACAAGACCACCTTCCCACTTGAAGGCGTCTCAACCATAAAGCAACTCAAACTTGAAAGACCAACTTATGGGTCCTTGTCACAACTTAATTAGTAAACATTCGACACGGTAAGCGCTCGAGTCTCAAAAGACCCATAAATCCCTTAGGATTCTCACACTTTCACAAAAACAGACTGCACTCCCTCTCCTTATACCCGACCCTATCATCCGACCGTGTGCAGATCGCACGAGTATACCGAAGAGTAGACAGTTCACATTCATTCACATTTACAAAATACACAGTACACGAGATTTTTCCCATATATCTTTCACCCAAAGTCACCATACATCAGGATAAAACCACACATGTGAGAGTGATTGTGATCGTCATATACAAGGTGATAGTCTTAGATAAAGTCTCAACACAAATATACACTCCGGAATGTAATATCCTAACTCAAAGCGAACCAAAATGGTCTTGAATTACATATATACACATAGAATTGAACAATCTCAACTGAAGCTGATACCGATATCACACAAGAATCAAAGTCTCCCTGACCAGAGCTAAAACTGAAATAGTCTTAATCAGGGCGTAATCGCATCCCTCAAACCGGGGGGATCTAAGTAATTCAAGACATATCTAAGTAACCAAGCAACACAACAAATCACTCATACACAAGTCTCACATACTACATTTGGAGGTTAGAGAGTCGACCTCACACACGCCGATGTCTCCTCCTAAGTCTCTCATACCTCTCACATATGCACAATCACCCTTACCTTGACACGAAATAGGTCCCATCCTTTCTCCTCTCAACGATAGGACAAGTGAAGTAAGCCTTTGTAATAATATTCTAAAAACCACTCCTTATTTTATCCGTAGGAGACATTCCCATGACGTATGTCGAGTCAATTCTAACACATCTCACATATATAGTTGTTCTATTGGGGTTTCTCCCGTTTACAACTCGGGTTGTCTTACCAGACCATTATTACGAAGCCCTTTCCCTTTGTACCCTGTGCCTATTTACCGCAGTTACATAATTGGGATTTTTTCCTTATACTTGTAGTCTACTCAAATTTTCAGGCCCTTCTCACACAACCCTTCTTCTTGACAACTACATTCAGGAGGCAGTGTTCGATGCTCCATCTCGCTGCAAAGCTTTTGTCTGTGTTCCCCCGGGGATGGTAGGGTCGATATACTCCCCAGCCCTATCGAAAATATCTCCTTCAATATTGGTCCTCATTAGACCACTTGCCTCATCGGCCCTTCGTTCTCAACAAAACTTCATTATGTGTCCTTCCTTGGCACAATGTCTGCAAATGTTCTTTTCCCAATCTGCTTCTTTTCCTTCAAAGCCACCCCTACTGCCACCGCGTCCTCTATTGCCACGTCCTCCATCCCTGCCAACCCTTCCATCTTGCTGCCTTTGACTTCCTCCACTGGCCATGCCGCCTCGCAACACTTGTTGTGTCAGCGGCTGCAACAGTCCCATAGGCGGAGGTCGAGTCTGGGCTGCAGGCGGCCTAGGCGGTATCATGCTCATCTGCGGGCCCAAACAACTCCCTTGTGCCTACGACACACATGAATTATACATCGGTCACAGACCCACTTGATAACACGGCGCTCACTGCCCATTTAGTCCCTGCTCAGTCGACAGAGGCCCCTTTTATGTTGCTTTGTCCCCCACTTGTTGTGGGGCGGCCGCCACTTGTCGCGAACACTGCCCCTTTTCATTACCTTGGTCTCCCTGGGCTAGGTTTCTCGCTTTCCTCTGGGTTTTCATTAACTTGGGAGGTTCAGGCTCCTCTTTTTCCTCTGTCATCCTCTTTTCTTTGCATCTCCGAGAGGTATGACCTGCCTTTCCACAACAATTACATACCATCTTTGCCTAGCGCTCTCGCTGTCTCCTACTCCTTCGTTCCTACCGACTTGCAATTGTAGATGCTTCCCCGTCAACACGCCTCCTCTTTGAATCAGATGCACTGATAGGCAGGGCTATGCTAGATTCTTGCTCCTCCTTTACCTCAACCAACTCCTCGCCTTTATCTCTCCCTTGGACGCTAGTCCGCCTTTTCGAGATTCTTACGAGGAGTGATTTTTGACAACTCCCTCTTGTCTCTTCCTCACCCTGACCAGCCGTCTCACTTGAGGCGCCCTTTGAAGCCTTCCGTTTGCCTTTCCTGGCTTTATCCAGTCGTATCAACCTCTCTTCCAATACCCCCTCTTGCCTTTGTATACCAGTTAACTCTTCTACTGTTGGTGCGACCTCGACTTGTTGCACAGGGCTTCCACTCCGCCGAACCTCTGCTCCATCTTCTGAAAACCTTAGCCTCAAGGTGGTCTCCATCTCATTCCAAGTTCGCGACTTTAACATAAAGGTATATGCTTCCTCGCTCAACTCTTCACAGACGAACAGCGGCAACATGCTCCATCTCGCCTTTTCGTCCCACATCTTTGCGAGACTGACGTCACGATAGATGTGTAAGAAGACAGACAAACTCCTCCCCTGAAACAACAAGGCTCGAAGGTCTGGAGGCATTGAATCTTGTATTGACTCGCGCAATAACACTTCAGTAAGGCATGTTCTCCTCCAAAGCAGGATCTTAGCGAAATCACTTTCTTCCGCCATGCTGTCAATGCTGGCCTGATACGCATAGCAAGCAATAGATCATCAGATTGCCCTCTAAAATCAGGTGAGGGCAAAAATAGTGTTTCTAACATTCAGATTACCCCTCCCCTCTCCCTTATTTACACAATAAGACTTTATGCTTTAGTCATCCTTATTTTAACTTTAAGGGTACTATGAACAATGTACCTCCCACATTGGCAGAGCTTTCAAGGCTAGTCACAGGCAGATAGTAATTATTATTACAAACTTCGCTGACTCTCGCACTTGTACTACATAGTAAGGTGACCGTAGGTGAGTCTTAGAGTGACGCACTTGGCAGAGCATGAAAGTACTCTCTATTGGTTCACTACCGCCCGAATCTCATCCCAATTTGCGGCTCTTTCATCTGGATCATGGGAGCAAGCATATGCATCAACTATATTGATCAAATTCCTCAGTCCTTGACCATGGGGTAAAACTCTTTCATCCAGATACATGCCATATATTAGCTTGCACGTATAGCGCCCATACTCTCATTCTCGCACTCTCAAAGCAGCTTCCGTTGCAGCCTCTATTCTCTCCTGTCCCCCGAAACACTTCCCTACCAGAAACTCAGGCAAGACGACTCGCAATGGGGCAGAAGGAAGCCCAAATTCATCGGCACGCTTGACTTCTACATGGGTCACAACTCGCTCTTCCCCTTCATGGACCCTTCTTCTTGTCCATTTTGCGGCAACTCCCTCGGCTATTCTTAATGGCCTCGCAAGCAAGCTCCCGTGCCCAAGTGTCAACTCAACCCCATGCTTGACCCAGAATGAGGAAGATGCGTACAGGGTGACCCTTACGATCGCGCAATCTTCATCATCGTTAAAGTCGGACCTGATCCAAGCGAAAATATCCACGTCCATCAATGTGCCCCACCAGGAAGAGATATACTCTCCTTCCTTGACTCTCATTGGCAGGGATACCTCGAGTCCATCTTCCTTTTTAACGGGCAAGGCCATATTTGGATCTTCCTTTGCATAAGGCATCCTGAGTTGCCTTTACTCTGGCCTGGGTTCTGCCCATTACAGAAAACATCTAGCATACGCCTTCCGTTATCATACTGATAATCGCGTTCTAACATCCCTACTCCTGAAGCCTTAGCTTCATATCATCTTTCATCAGGATTCATCCTTTCCAGCGTTTACGACCACCCAGCCTAGAGAAAACAATAATGGTAATATATCACGATAATATTGCATTCACAGATATCGAAATCCATAATTATAGTCCTCATGAAAAATTATATATTACCATAATAGCTAACAACAATACTACTCATAATAATCAAAACACATCATATACAAGCTAGTCAGTTACTCAAAGCATATACAAATACCTCACAACAACAGGCCTATATCAATAGGCATAACATATGATAGGCACATTATGATAAGAGATATAATTGCCAACAGCTAGTACTCTCAGACATAAATTTTATGAGAGTACCACACTTTATTCCCCTCACTTTGACAGAAGTATACTGTGGCGAGGGGCAGTGTAATCCTTTTCAGAAAGGATAACATCTTAAATCCCCAAGTCCCACTCAAGGATCAAGTCTCACTGCTTCTCCCTCCGCTTCCAGCGTTCATTCCTTGCAGACCCCTGTCAATAAATTAAACAACCTCACCATACACGCTTCGGGTGGTGCCACCTCGTCCTGTGCTGGTGAACCCGCTTGACACAAAAATAGTTGGGGATTCATCCCCTACCTTTCTGTGGCCAATAGTAGTTGTTTCCCTTATAAACCATGGCCTAACAAGGCTCAACACTTTCCTCATATTCAGTAGTAGTGTAGTCATTTTATCAAAAAGATACAACAACAACACCCCACTACGGACCAGGAACTTAGTTCCGGCGTGGGTCTCACTACTACTTACAAGAAAAAATTATAGCTTTTTCAAAGCGATCTCTCAGGGGAACTATAACGTAGGATTGTAACCTTCCCTGGGGTAGACCTTACACATTGACTATTCCTTGGGAAAAACTTATCCCTAGGAAGTAGTCACACCATTCATCTCTGAATCCGCATCAGACGTGGATTCTGCATAATATTTCTACCCCTCTTTGAGGAGCAATCCAAACACACAAACCTTGATAGACAACCATAAATCGATAATTGGACTTGAGACACTCATTTAAATCCTTGCAGACTGAATAGTTCAAGTACATACTTCAAATACATGGCCCATGTAAATATTTCTGACAAGGATAATTATTAAAGGAAATATAATCATCAAGCACATAGCCTCATATAATTAAATATTAGGCAAACATATTTAGATAAGATCTTACACATAGGAATGAGTTCAACATATAACTCAATAGAAATGTCCTCAGACACGTAGTCTCAAGTCCTTAGTTCCAACTCATAGATTCAAGTGGATGGTCAAAACTAGGAAAGGCTCAAGCGAAGGTCTAACATCAATTACAATCCATTGCCCCATAAAAGGTAAGCAAAATAGTCTAAGTGTTAGCTCCTTCACTGTTATTTCGACTGCCTCTAGGATCAGATACTCTCTTTTAACAAAAAATGTGTCATGCAAACCTACTACTTCCCGTAGTCCTTTCCATTGAGGTCATATTACGGTGCTCACTACACCCATCCACTGCTTTATATTCCCAGCTCAAACACATCGCGCGTGATAGACCTCACATTTTCATGGCTATATAACCCAAACAACAACTTAAAACCTAGACTCAAGGATCCCATATTCCGATCCATAAAGCTTTTGGCCTCCTTAGCTTAACTCTCCTCGAAGTCCCTTTATGACTTTTAACATAATAGACTCCCTTACTCGTTTTCGGCCTCACCCAAACCCAGCATACCCTATAGCCTTTTATGACCTCTCAGGTAATTCTTTTAGCCATAATAGGTACCTTATAGGGTCTACTCCGGGATTGGTCGTGCTGCTATCCCCTCATCTCACCTTAGCCATATCAGACATCCAAGACATCGTCCAAAACCTACCAACTTTTAAGGTCAGGAGAGGGTATCAATTCCACGTACCATCATGCTGGTCAGAGTGCGTGATCGTATAGACAAAACGTCTATCCTTCTTGCACCATCATTACTGCACTAGCCACAACCATCTCACGCAATCAATCCCTGCTCGGTCGCTATCCTATATCATCAATCGATTAATCTGAAAAAAAACTCAATCAAACTTCTCACTTTGCCTATTTCTCACATTCCCATACCCGGATGTCATTCCACCAGGGACAACGGCAGGTAACCGTTATCCCCGGCAACGACGCCACCTGTCGTTCGCATCGGTCCGACACCACACAAGGCAGCGCAGGACCCTCCCGACCGCATCACGCATGAGTTGGTCTGAATCCGCGTCGCGAATATACATCAAGCTTCCGCAAGCCGCTCCAGCCGAGTGCGCCACCCATACCTCTCGCGAGCCCCTACGACAGAATAGAGCCTACGTGAGGCACGACTTACCTCCACCTTACGAGAACTGTCACCTCCCTTCGGTGGGCGTATCCCCGCCGAGCTACCAGTCCACAGTACGAAAGCTAATGAGCTGCGGTCGCAGAGGTGGACCAGTCGAGGGCGTTTCTCGTTCGCTGTAGCATAGGGGGTGCGCCCGGTAGTACGCCTCTATCGAACCCGCACGTGAACCGGCATCTTGGGGGGCTGAGGTCCCAAGCGCGACTCGTCGCCGGTCGACTAGGACGTATCCCACACGCTACGTGCATACCACTATAAATAACATAAAAATAAAAACACATGCATATATACAAACATATACAAAACGACCGAGGACAAACAACGCGACAACATTCCTAGTCCCTTAGTAGTCATCCCATAACTTCCCGATGCGAAAATCGGATAAGCGTCGCGTGCGAGACTTCATATAAAACCACGCGGACGGAGGGCTAACTCATACCGACTCACAATGCAAGCGTACGCAAGCAGCCGCAATGAAGGCGTACTATGTAGTGTCCATAATCAAGCGGCCCTTCGTGGATCCGAGTACCGCTTATGACACTCAATTGTCATACTCGAAGTATCGTGATGGTCTAATCCTTCATGATATTTCACAACTGAAGGAATAGCCGTGCGGCTGTCGCGAGGCCTCCGGCCTTTAGCCTGAGAGTCTCGGCAGGCAGGGCAAATAGGCTCTGCGCGAGGGCAGATTCCTTCCCTGCAGAGCCTAGGGCTTGGGGTGTCCTGGACAAGGACCTTGAATCCCAACCCAGGACGAACGTCCGACTAAGAAATCTTCAAGAAGCACATAAATAAATAGAGGGGTCTTCCTTCTTCACTTAACCCCGTCCCTCAATTAACCCTTAATACGCTGACCCTTAGGGCTATGTGAACTTCCAACATAGGTACACATACATTTTTATACGTATACAAGAGGCATATGTATGTGACGATCACTTCTCACAGTCAAAGTGAGGCTCCTCACAACCATATGTATATGTGTGATCGAAGACAGTAAAACCCAAAATCCGAACCACAGAACATACCTGCAATCACATCAAGAGTCAAACAACGTCCGCGCACTACACGGAGTCAACCCCAACCACTCTCTGTACTCATACCCCTTGCTTTAGCCATGCAAGCCCCAACCTCTTGTCCAACCAATCAAAAGTAAATACTCAGTACCTTTGTTAAATGACCAATCAATAGAAGTCCGGGTGAAGCCTTAATAAAACAATAAAATCACCAGTGTTGAAGCCTTTTAGGGTGAGTATTGAGGGTGAGTTGGAATTGAGTCGTAAATCGACGAATCGGCAACGGACCTGCTATCAGTGATAACAGAAGGTGATCCTTGTGGGATCAAAGTTGAATCCAGTAAAAAAAACATCCTGAATTGAATTACTCAAAGAAGGACCTATTACACGAAACAGGTCAATTTCCAGGCTGAACTTATAAGCACACAATGAATAATCTTCATACCCTGTTCTTACAGAAATTCTCCTGAGAACCAAGCCTAAGTCTATCCCTGCGCAGGTTCCCAAGAGAAAAAGCAGACCTTTGACATCATCTTCCCTACCCAGAGTGGATCGCCAGAATCGCCACCTGTCGAAATATAATCCAACTCATCTAAATTAAGAAAATTTCGGCAGCGCTTCCCGTAGGAAAAGTGTCATCGCAGAATTTATACCAAGTTAAGTTCTGAATCTAAAATGACTTCAACTTTTCAAAGTCCAATTTTGTCTAACTCCTTGAATTAGCAAAAATTTGGGCAGCACTCTCTTTAGAAAATTAGATGTTCCAGATTTTTACTAAGCCAAAAAGTCAGAAAAGTTAGACCCTGAAAAAGAGAAAGTCTGATTAACTCCTTGTTTTTTTAGAAATTTCGGCAGCGCTTCCCGTAAAGAAAGTGGCTTATCAAGATTTATACAAGGCCAAGTATAACAAAAGATCCCTGAAAATGCAGAAATTGACCTAAGTAAAATAAACTTAGCTAAGAAAATGCAGGAATCGAAACTAACTCCTATGGCTCTAGCACGTGGCGAGCAACTAAAGCAACTACCTATCGAACTGAATATCAGACTAAGTAGCAGCCTCACTCTGTCACATGCAGACCAAATTACAAAGGTAAGTAATCTCCCCATCCCCAAGTCATCCTGGACAAATAATAGTGCGTAATCTTTCAATGATTTATCCCTTTATACCCAGCTTACATAGGGCATAAAGCTAGACCACCCAAACTTATGGAACATGTCTAGCTTTGTCATGAAGCATACACAAACAAAGGGCACAACAACTTTTCTCTTCTTTGGGCATGTAACTAGGCCACCCTAGTCGCCCTAAAGTATTTAGATATCCGAGCTTTATATAATTGTCTGCAGTTAGCCTTTTGAGGTAGCATATAACTGAGCCAATCATCTTCAGCTCAAGACTTCAACAAAAACAATGTGGCAATATTTTTGTTACGTTGAACCTATGTTGACACCACATTTCAACTGTTTATAAACCATTGGCCGGGGGGGGGGGGACATGCGTTCAACACAAACTCAAGGAAACCAACACTGACCGTATATTGGGGACACTGAAACTTGTGTGTTCAACTGTTGGATCAACTATTGACAGACAGTTGGTCCAACTGTTGCTCCATTGTTGGTAGCTTGTTGAAATCTTGTTGAAGAGTTGTTGAAATGTTGTTGAAACCTTGTTGAAATGTGTTGAAACGTGTTGAAAGTGTGTTGGAATGTGTTGAAATGTGTTGGACCGTGTTGAAACAGGGCATTGGACCGTGCGCAATAGCAGTTTCGGTTACGGGTCATTTGCGTTCTCCGGGGGTGGGTTGTAGCTGTGTTTTCGTCGTTTAAGGACTGAGCACGTTTTGGAGTACGAAGATCACATGGGCGAGCGTTGGGTTTGCGCGCGCCGACCGAGCACGTGATGATTGCAGTGACTGATGGAATTGAGGGATCAGAGACTGATGATCAGAGAGAGAGAGAGAGAGAGAGAGAGAGAGAGAGAGAGAGAGAGAGAGTCCAAGAGAGAGAAAGAGATGCTGTAGGCTGCCGACGAACACATTTCGAGCCTCGTACAAACAAGGTTGACTTTCGGTGTCCGACGAACACATTTCGATTAAATGCTGGGTTGCCCTCGTACAAACAAGGTTGATTACTGCGGGTCGAAAATTGTCCAACACGGCGGTGTCCGACACAATTTAGCACGCAGTAGCCAACCTTCCTTTTCTGTGCCCCTAAGATAGTTGTGTCCCGTTCTATATAAAACGATTTGGCGTTGGGAGCCGAAGTCCACGTCACCCTGCCCTGCAACAAACACTTTTCACTACAGGTTGACAAAATTTTTGGACTTATTCTCTCACGTGTACGGAGCAGACGTGGGAGACCATCGATTAAATGCTGGGCTGGCCTCGTACAAATAAGGTTGACTACTGCGGGCCGCAAATTGTCCAACACGGCAGGGTCCATCACATTTTGGCACGCAGTAGCCAACCTTCCTTTTTTGTGCCCCTAAGATTGTTGTGTCCCATTCTATATAAGGCGATTTGGCGTGGGGAGCCTCAGTCCACGTCACCCTGCCCTGCAACAAACAAGTTTCACCACAGCTTGACAAAACACATTGTCATGTCATGTTACCATTACAAAGTCAGCCGCACACAACACTCAATCACACAAAGATGAGCATTACAAATGTTTGTGCAATTGTGTATCAAAAATAACAGAAGTTGTGTAGTTATCAGACTGTATGGAGCATAAGGCTCGCAATCCTCAGGCGGTGCACATGCGTGCAAGCACTCGCTCTCTCTCTCTCTTCTGCAAAACTGAAGGTCTTCGTATCTTTCTCTCTCTCTCTCTCTCTCTCTCTCTCTCTCTCTCTCTCTCTCTCTCTCTCTCTCTCTCTCTCCTGCACCGACTGTGGCCTTCGATTTTGCATCTCCTGGTTCGAAACGTCTAAAAAAAGAACCTTTCGTTCCACCGTTTGGTCATTGCCCCGCATCCTCCCTTCCATGTCGAAATGTCACCAAACTGTCCCTCGTTGTTCAGGGTGCGGCACACAGACTATCGGTGCGCCTGTCCCCGTCTCCACGTCTTGTTCTCCTTCATCTCGGTGCGCATCTTGTTGCGAGCGGGGAGGTGGTGGTCCGTTTGCTGAGATCCGACGAGCGGAATCCCTTTTTCAGACCAAAACCAATGTTTCAGCTGCCACGTAATCTCTCCGCGGATCGTCGCCATCATTCTGTTGCATTCCCCTATGACAGCTCGAATCCCGCACTCTGCTATGTGAGACCGCAGCCCTTCCTCTGCTGTCTCCCCTGCCATTTTCGCCGTCGCTTGCACCGCCGCGAAAAACGCGTCCTCTGTCGGGTACAGAGTTGCGTCGTTTACCGCAAAGAACGCAAAGGCTTTGGCGACGGAACGCAACAACTTGCCCTTCATTTTCTTCGCGAATGCGGAGCCCTCGTCCTTCGGTCCTTGCACGGCTCCGCCGCTTGCGCGCACTTTCGTTCGTGACGTTGCGATCGGTGGGAAACAGAAGACATAACGCACAGGAGAGTGTTAACAACTCAGCGCCTTGTTTTCAATACGGCACTTGCAAAATTGAAGATTCGACTATCAGCTGTGCGTTTACAAAGACACTTTTCCTTGCGTAAAGGCGTGCACCGCGTGGGGGCACGGGATTATGTGATCGGAGTGGGAGGGGAGTCAGTGCGACGCGGTTTTTTTTACCTTTTCCCGCGGCGCTGACGTGCTGTACGATTTGTCTGTCACCGACACGCTCCTCGGTGTCACTGCCATTGCGTGTCTGCCATTCTCCTTCTCTGCGCAGCGTCCTCGAAGGAAATGGCGAACCACCTCTTTCCGAAGCGGCGCTCTGGTCTTCGCCGGTTGTCTCGCTGGCCGACTTGCCATCGCTGTCGTCGTCCTCATCGGTGTCTTGCGATTGTCTGCGGGAAGAATCGCTATCGTCTCCCTCGTTTCCTGGCTCCTCGTCCTCCGCACCATCTGACTTCTCTGGCGCGGAACGGTCGTGTTCCTCCTCTTCTTCCACTTGGGGTCCGCTGTGCCTGTCGTCAGACCCTCTAAGATCGATTCTCTCCACTATTCTGTCGTCTTTGTAGGATATTCTCTTCTTTGTTCTGCGGTGCGTAGTCGCGCTTCTATCATCCTCCGATCTTTTTTCCGGGACCCTTGGCGGACGGTTCTCGGCGCCGCTTCCGCGCTTTCCCCGCACGGGGGTCGAGGGGGGCGACTCGTTACGTTCTTTCAGCATTGAAATCTCCCGTGCACTCGAAGGGACTATAACTTTCGATCCGGATTTGCGGCTGCGCTTGTGCATCGTTTTCGCAGAGGGGTCGGCGCCGCTTCTGCGATGCTCTTTCGACTGCTTCTTTTCAGCCTTGGATTTCTTCCGGCACTTGTCCTTCTTTCCCGCGGCTTTCAAAGACCTGCACAGATCCTCGTATTTTGGCCTTGGAGCCATCAACCCTTTTTTCCCACATGCATCAAAGTGGAATAAGAACCACAAGTGCGTCAGTGATGTTGTTTGTCACGCAGAGAGAGAGAGAGAGAAAGAGAGAGAGAGAGAGAGAGAGAGAAAAAGACGAAGTCATGCAAGTGAGCAACCTCTTTGTGCGTCAGAGTGACTGCATTTGTATTGTCAGGTGGCAAGAGATCGCATAATCTGGGAACAAAAAAAAATTCTAGAAAAAAAACCATCGGAATAGTTGCCTCGTCCATCATTGCGATAAGGTTGGCTACTGAGGGCCAATCATGTCCGCACATCCCACATTTCATGTCATTTTGGCCCGCAGTAGTCAACTTTCCTCGCATCGCATTCGGTGACCCGGACAATATCTCATTCCATGGAAGTGTTGCTCTCTCTTCTATTTATTATGCTTTGCAACGTTGTGGCTACTTGTGAAGCCGCTAAAGTGCCGTTGCCTTTTGTGACTGCAGCACAGGCAGCAAGCCGGTCCACCATCGACTCGCGAAATTGTCGAACAGTTCTTTCGTTCACCGTTGTAGTTTTTATAACTTCCAGTACGTCCTTGGCCGTCAGATCCTTTGTCGCGGTTCTTCCAAGAAATTGTATTACGGTGGTAGCGATACAACACACATAAACACCACAGTCCGTGTGATTGTTCTGTTGCGGGCATTCCGCATGCACAAGTTTACTTCCTGCCAGATCCCTGCATGTCACCCACGAAAAATAAACCTTTTCGGGTGTCAAAGCCTGCAAATTCGATGCCTCGTGAAGGTACTCGTGTCACAAAAGTGTTCGCAACGCCGTCCATTCGTCTCGTTTTTTTTCTCTCATTGAGTCAACGACGATAGCAATGGGAGGGTCGGATATGCGGCTGTACGCAGTGACCTCCAAGAAGGACCTCGCATTCAGCAACAGAAGAAGAATCCAGTGTTTGTTACGGTTCACTGGTATCACAGTGACCGGCGCGCGTCGCAGTTCGTTGCACAGTCGATGCAATTTCTGTGGTCTCTTCTTAATTGCGTCCTCCCATCCTTTTTTCGTCAATTTWYCAAATTTTTGATTGGCGACGACCTCGGGGTGCCAGAAAGTTGTGCAGACGTGAACATAAGACCTGTCCTGGCCCCGCCCAACCTCTTCATACACAGACTGCTAATAAATGTCAATAATATTGTCGTTCAGCCATCCGTCGTCCGACAACCGTTCAATGTCGGTTTTTATACGGGTATGGCGTGTTGCGGAGATTTTCATGTAAAAGCGAACAATTCGACCACGTCAGTGATCTCGGTCTGCTCATCTCTCGCTCTTATCTTGTCCCCTGCTTTCCGTTTTCCCATACAACAGGAAGACTGTTCCCCGCAGGACTGGGGTCACTCTGCTGCACCCTCAGTCAGTAAATCGTACATTTCCGCGTACCATGGGTCTGATAATATGTCCTGCCAGCTCTGTGCTGACCTCTGGCTGCTCGATGGCAACAACGGTTTTCCCTCCCTGGCACCATTACCCGTTTCGGTGCGCTGGTATGGCCCCTTCGCAGCGGCCGACCAATTACTACTGTTGTGCGACTCTGCCATCGTTGATCCCCTTCTCTTACCTGCACCCTGTTACTCTGTGTTCCTTGTCGCTTCTCCCCCTTCGCCCTCTCCCAGCTTTGCGGCGTGCAACTTTGTGTTCATAATCACACACGTAGCGAGAGGTAGAAGACACAGAGGATTAGTTATGTTTTTTAGCAACGACGAATGGTTTTTGTCGAGATGCTATCATTTGTTTTTCTTTCATTTGTTTATTTTTCCTTTGCAGATAGGTGGGGACGAGAGAGTTCGTGCCAGAGAGAGAGAGAGAGAGAGAGAGAGAGAGAGAGAGAGAGAGAGAGAGAGGAAGAGAGAGAGGTTGGCTACTGCGTGCCAAAACTGAATCAAATGTCACTGTTGACGACGTGAATGTCACGCAGTAGTCAACTTTTAGGGACACTTTCGTTTCGCATGAGGTTTTGGTTCTCCTTCGTAGGTATGTCAGCGTTAGACATCATAGTTGTTTACAGCAACGAACAAAGAAACTGTTGGATGGTCCGCCATTCTGATGTTGACCGAAGTTGGCTACCGCGGGCCAAAAATACACATATGCACATCGATGCGTGTGCCGGTGGCCCGCAGTAGTCAACCTCTCTCTCTCTCTCTCTCTCTCTCTCTCTCTCTCTCTCTCTCTCTCATTGCTATGAAAAAAGCAAAAGAAATGATAACGTTGCAAAGGGGAAAAAAATAATTACAAAGACGCACCCTCCTTCCTTCTCTCTCCCTATCTTTCTTTCTGTCTTTTTTTCCTTCTTTCCCTCTTTCTTTCTTTCTTTCATCCTTCCTTTCTTTCTTTATTTCTCTCTTTTTGAGTTTTTTCATTCTTTATTGCTTTCTTTCTTTCTTTCTTTCTTTCTTTCTTCCTTTTTTATTTTTTTCCAAAAAACCTTCCAAATCGGTGGGGAGTGTGCGGGAGAGGAATAAAGAAAGAAAGAAAGAAAGAAGGAAAGAAAGAAAGAAAGAAAGAAAGAAGGAACGAAAGTAAGAAAGAAAGGAAGATCGAAAGAAGAGAGAAGAAGAAAAAGAAAAAGATGAAGGACAAGAA